CAACAGTCAGGACGAAATTTGAAACCGGACAATCAGCGGACAGATTTGCGAAACGGAACAGTCAGTGAACCAGCAAAGCTTTGACACACGTTACCATGACAACGCGTCAGTCAGCGATGATTTTCCTACATACAAAGCAGTGGCAAAGAAAATCCTGTCTCTTCTCTCTTTGTTCAAACTGGTTTGAAATCAATGTTATTGCAGACAACCAGCCATCAGTCATACACAAGTTACGTTAACGTGTGCTTCACACACACACACACACACACACACACACACACACACACACACACACACACACACACACTGGCTTGCAACAAAATAATCTCGAACTTTGCAAATTCATTTGCAACAATTCACTTTGAACACTCGAACTAATAGTCTCTTCAAGCCAACAACAAAGACAATCCTAATATGTAAATATATGTATCTGACTATGTTATGAAATGTTATTGTCATATTTAACGTGGTCTTCTTCCTTTTCTGCGAATATCATTTCTTCGCGTTGTTTATAATTTTGTATTGTAATTTGTGGACATGACACTCAGATTTTATTTTTACACCTACAGGTAGACTGCACCCACAATTTATTTAGAAAGTTTTGAACCTCAACTCTTACTGTTCTTTATATAAATATATTTACTAATCAGCCACGTGTTGAAATTAATTTCTTTTGAAAATGTTGAATTCCTTTATTCTGAAAGTCTTCATTTTCGTCTACAACAAGACGTAGCTACTCCCGGCACCAACGAGTGATCAACAACAACCTCTTCCAATACAAATTGCAGCACCTTTCACTTTACTACCCAGTTAACATACATTGATAACACTTTTATACTCTTGACATGCCAGGTATTATTGTACCATATAAATTTTAAAAAGATATCTTTTTATTCTTCTTCTTCTGTGTCCGTTCACGACGCAGTTGATCATGGCTCTCCCCTATTGCCTACCTCTCGTTGCTTTTAATAAATTTTGTCTTTTCATTCTCTTAAACCTTGTTCCACCAGCCATGTACTCAAAATAATTAAGTATGTTAAGTGTTATTTTCCTTTGCCCCTCTTGTCCTCAATCTGTCCTGTATGTAGCAGATTTTTCCAAGCCTTCTTTCCTCATTATGTGCCCCAGAAATTTCAATTGTTTCTTTCTGATGTTAAGTATTAGTTTACTTTTTGTTTCTGTTTTCTCTAAAACCTCGTCGTTGCTCACGTGTTCGGTCCATGGTATCCTCAGCATCCTTCTGTAGAACCACATTTCGGTTGCGTAAAGTCTCTTATTCATTTTGGAGGAGATTGTTCAACATTCAATGCCATATAGGAGGACAGATATCACGTAACAGTTCACTACTATTTCCTTTGTTTCTAATGAAGTTTTTCTATCTTTTAATACTCTGCTTGGCTTTTGGAATGCATCGTTGGCTATCCCAATATGTCCTCGGATTTCAGTGTCGCACTTTCTGTCTGTTGGGGCGCACCCACCTTCTGAGGAGAATGGACTAATCTCTCTACGATATAGGTCAGTGCTAGAGAGATCAGGGGAGATCTGTTCATCACGTTCTGTGGAGATCACGAGACCATTGCACTTCCGTCTCTCGACCGGAAGATACCGTTGGACTGTAGACTCTTGCTAATTGTTATTACTAACCTGCGTTCGTTATTACTAATCAGTCTGTTGTTAAATACCTCTTCAAATATACCAGTATTTTTCCCTACATCTCTGTTTGTCTTTATTTGAATACACACACGCGGGAACACTCACAACATCTCAACACTGTCCTATGTTGGAACACTTCCACATATTTAAATTTTTGTATTTGTTTGATTTTTGGTATCTCCAATTTGTAATTTGCAACTTGGGCTCCTTTTTTTTCTTCTTTTTTTTTTTGCTGACAACCATACATTCTTTCTTCTTACAATTGATGTTTAGTCCTTTCTTCTCGCTTTCTTTTACTAACTTCGTTAGGAGATTCGATAGTTTCCTTTCTATGTCTGCTATCAACACTGTGTCATCTGCATATCTCAGGTTAATAAGATTGTGGCTGTCACCCCTTTTTATTTTTGTATATCTAATGAACTCATTTTCTATCCGTGTGCAGGAGATTTGTTGCCTGTATAGGTTCTTGATTATTCTAATATCCTTCCCAAATATGTCAAGGTTGCTAAGCAGTTCCAATAGATCTTTGTGAAGTACTTTACCGGACGCTTTTGCGTAATGTATAAAACACAGTTATACGTCTTTTTGCATTCGTATTGCTCTTTCTGGTAATATTCTGAGTATAAATATCGTGCTTCTTGTTCCATTATTTCTGTAATCTTGTCTATGCCGAAATCATCTAAGGTTGACAGCATCTCTCTAGCCCTGCCACTTTGTTTCTGTTCAATTTGGCCAATGCAGATTACACTTCAGTTTTTTAATATTTCCGGTCCATCGATATTTATGGGTATTTCCCATTTCTTCTCTTTCGTAGTTGAAGAGTTCACCGATATATTCCTTCCATCTGTGGAGTATTTTTTCTTTCTCTAATATCATCGGTCCGTTCTTGGATTTTATGCACTCCGTTGAGGAGCGTCTTTTTGTCCTGTTAGTTTTCTTATTATTTATGCGTATCTATAAAAAAATTTATTCCCTACCAAAATTTTAGTAGGAACACAAGTCATAACAGGCGCAAAATTATAAATAAAACTCAAACAACTGCGTAAAATTTTAAAAGGAAAACACATTTATTACACAATTACGAAAAAGTACAAATACAAAGTTTGCACAAACATTTTCTTTTGCGCATTTATTAAGGTAGCATTACAATTTCTGATAAAAAGCTTACCATCGAAAAATGGAAAATATCACAGTTTCGGAAAAGACAAGAATTTTGAAAATGACAAAAAGAAAAAACAATAAAAGAAGGCAGAAAAAAATGAAAGGTGCAGCCACATTTGAGAAAAAAAAAAAGAAAAGGCCTACTTGCCCTACGAACGTCTCTGGGACAAATAGGAATGTTAGAAAAGTCCCTTTTAAATTCGTGCTTGGGAAATTATCTCAGAATTCTTTTCCGTTCTTCGTTCTCCAACCACAGGAGAATTTTCATTTGAACATTAAAAATTCTTTAGTCTCTTTGCAGCTGGCTGGTAACTGGTGCCTCCTTGATATTGATTTGCCTTGTCACCTTGCTGCCAAAATGTCTTCTCCATGTCCACTGATCTGAGATCTTATTTATTCAGAAAATTAGACTTACAAGCCTCCTCACCACATTCCGGTTGTTACAAGAGCTTGGGACAACACCTCCGTTGGCTACAAAATACGAAAAATTTTTTTCCATGAACTGGAAATGGACCTTTCACAAATTTTGGTGGGTTTTAACCACAGCTGATCTGAAAAGGATACATAATTGTAACAATTTTTTACACAAACCGTCTGACCTTCATAAAAATACACTTCTCCCAAAAGATTAAAAAAAAAAACAACCTAGACGATTAAATATTTATTCTATGTTAACATTTTTAAAATAGTAAAATATTTTTTTATATATCTGCTTTATCTGATTATTTTTTTTATTTCTGCACATTTTTCGCTGAGGCATTTCTTTTTAGCCTACCTGCATGTTTTCCTTATTACTGTGTAGTGTTCTATATTCTGTTCTGTGTCTTGTCATTTTTTGCCTCCTTTTACATCATGTCGAGAATTTCATCTGTCCTTCATTCATTTTTTTCTTCATCTATTTTCCGTTGCGATTATCTCCATTGCTGATGTTACTAAAACTTCCCTAAACACTTCGAGTTTCCATTTTCATTTGTCCATCGTATCTGCTTTTCACACTGTCTATATATTTCTCCTTCAGATTCGGAGTCGTTCAAGAGTCTGTCGTATTGTAGTTTGGGTACTGCCTTAAGCTTCTTCAATTTCCGTAATTTCACTCCAAGTTTACAAATAACTGGAAAGTGATCAATTTCACAGTCGGCACTTGGATAGGTTTTGCAGGGTACAGCATCATCCCTGAATCTCTTATTGATAGTTAAGTAGTCGATTTGGTTTTTCGTTTCTCCTCTTCAGCTTCTCCATATCCAAATTCGTCTTGGGTGTTTTTGAAAGTAGGTGTCGGCTACTATCTGGTCATTCGCCGTACACTATTGGACCCGTTTTTCTCATTACGGATTCCTAGTCCAAATTTCTCAACTATTTCACCATCCCTGAACTCATTTCTTCATGTCTTGGTCTAGTATCACTCCTACTCCTCTTTCATTTTTCTCTGTGCCTGCATATATAATCCTGTGTCTGTCAGTGAAAAAATCTCCATTGTTTGGCCATTTCGTTTCATATACTCCTAAAATATTGACATTTACCCTGCTCATTTCCAGTTTTATATTTTTTAGCCGTCCAGAGTTGTTTAATGTTATAACATTCTCTTTCCTGAGCATTATTTTTTATTTGATGCAAAGAATCCTTGGATGACGGTCAGGTGACACCTGTTGTATATCTCGCTTCTTACTGGACAAGGGGTTAATTCCAATAGATTTAACCCCCTTCTCCGGTCATTATCAGGCATGGAAACTATTTTCCTTTTGGTAAAATTCAGGTAGCATCCGAAACGAAAAAATATAATGCAAATCGAAATATGTTTTTTGAAGTGTGTTATTTATAACAGATACAAACTTGTGAAGCATGCAGTCGCAACGCTAAGGTTGAATTTTTGAAAATTCAAGTGAGAGCGTTTTTTAATATAAATATGGCAATTTAAGAATTTTTTTATTGTAGGAGTTTATCAGTCAACGTGGCACGAACTAAACTGATGATGACCGGAGAACCCGTCGAAAGTACTTGCATATTTAAGGAAGACATAATACAGTTTATAAGTTTAAAAAACAAAGATCATAACATTCGTCGAGTGGTTAGTGGGCTAATGCATTTTTAAAATTTAGTTAGCTAAGTGAATTCGCCATTTTATCTCATTAACTTTGCTAATTTACTTTTTGTATGCATGATTCATTGTAATATAAATTAAACTGCACCACATATTTGATAGATAGATAGATAGATAGATAGATAGATAGATAGATAAAACCTATCTTGAATTTCGAGTTAATACTGAAAGATTCATAGCTGGTATTTAGAAACTTCTTTTCCCCCTTACTTCTAGCCCCTTCTATCTATCAGTAATGGTGATAGGGGAGAGACATATCTATGAATGTAAATTATTTCATTTATTTGTTAATATTAAGTATTAGCTTTTTAACAGTACTACTTAATTACTTTCTGTCCTATTCTCAATTTTATCTCTCAGGATGATGGCGACGGGTGAATAGACTCCCATTTTTACTGCTAAAGTCACCAAAAATAAGAATTCCATGCCAGATTCATTAAGTTTATATATTGGAAGGGAAGGAATAATATCATGATCAGTAATTATAATAAAAATAAAAAGTTACAATTACATATAATTTTGATGGAGGTTAAAAAAGAGAAAAGGCAGAGAAAGTAAAACGCACGGGGAAACACCCTTCACCCTTCCCAACCCAAAGATAGTTGTATCTTTTCAGCCATCCAAATCAAAATTCATTCCAGAGTATCGAAATCTCCATAGCACCTGTGGAGTTACCCACTTATTTCCCTAACAAAAATCTGCCACGAGAGGACGCTTTCTTGGCCTATAAATACACTATAATATTTTCTATTATTCTCTTTTTCCTATTTTCCTTAGACACACTAGGATGTAGGTCTATTGTGAAAACGCGATTCCCATTGGGAAACGCACACAGAGAAGTTAAATGAAATACTGAATCGTCATATACGGAAGCGTATTATAGCCGTATAGGATACAGGTTCGATTCCTGTCGGAGGACGAATATTTTCTATGAAAATTTCTCGGACATTCAGGCCGGTAAATGTTATAATACTGTTTATTATAAACAGTGCATTTACTTAAATATTTGTATCTATAAAAAGAATGTATAAGCATAAAAATGTCACACACACACACACACATATATATATATATATATATACAGAAGGTGTATGAGCTGCGTGGAGAGTCTTTTATTGTTGATACGTCTAACAACACCTAGCACCTCTCACACATCACAGTTCCCCGGCTCTGAGCTCTGTCTTTTCTCCTCTTCTTCCTCAGTCGTTATATATATATATACACACACACATATATATATATATATATATGTATGTCTGGGTGTGTGTGTGTGTACATGCCTAAGTGTATGTACCTACTTGTATATGTTTTTTTTTTTTTGTTTTTTTTGTGTGTGTATTAGTATGTGTTTTTGAACATAGAAATATTTGGTCCTTGCGAAATGAGACAATCGTTATATTCATCTTCATATATTTATATTTGATTTTAAATTTTAAGTAAACACAATTTTTATTTTCCTTCGTCCCATCCCTCTCCCCCACCCTTTCCCTTTTTTTTTTTTTTTTTTTCCCTTCCTATCCGAATTGTCTGTGGTGTGTATATGTCACCACGAAATGTATCTTTATGTATTAGACATCCGTCGACTTTCTTTCTCTCCTCTTTTTAAATCCACCCCACCCACATCTCCAAAAATTCTCTCTGTCACTCATCCTCATACTTACACTTTCTCTAAATTCTGTTTTGATTTCCGGAGTTGTTTTTTTCTGTTTTCATTTTGAATTTGTAGGTCTGATGATTTGGATCGTATTTACGATTCCAATGGAATAAATTATGACCATGGAATATTAGTGTTTAAGCCTTTTTATTATATATATATATATATATATATATATATATATAAAAAATAAAAACACTTCCTAAGATGGTATAAAAACTTTTAAAATGATTTGGTAAACATCCTATCTTACAATTAAGTCTGCATTGCTCACAGATACAGTGGCTTAATGATAGAACTTTATGGAGAAGGAAGATGAAAAAATAGCCTTTTTTTTAATGTATTCATGACTAGTAGATAACACAGAGTGAATGTATCCGTAACTGTGCTTCGATTCTCATCTTACTTATTGTAAAACGCAGATTGTGTGTGTGTGTGTGTGTGTGTGTGTGTGTGTGTGTTTATATATTGGATCGGATTTCCTACATTTTTCAACCGATTTCAACAAAACTTCACAGGACTGCGTAAAATTACCTTGCGGTGGTTCTGACAGCGCGAAAAATTGGAAAAACACAATTGCTTTTGCCCGAAATCAATTTGAAAACACGATTATGTCGCCAGAATGAAAGGGGGACAACTCATATCGAGTTATACTTATTATAAAACCCAGGTTGTTTGCGTGTGTGTGTGTGTGTGTGTGTTCGTTTATATATAGGATCGGATTTCCTACATTTTTCAACCAATTTCAACAAAACTTCACTTTTTTTTTTGGCAGGTAGTGTTTCTTATTGTCTTGCACACTTTTTTCTTTATTTTTACATTCAGAATGGTTTAAAAATTCCATTTACAAGACAATTGTTTATAAAAAAAAATCTATTCAATCGATAGACTCATAACGATTGAAAACAATGTTTTTGTTTGAGCTTGGGTTTGACCAATTCGTAAAAAAAAAAAAAAAAAAAAAAAAAAACTAATTAAGACATGCGAGTCTGTCAACCTTAAACAATAATCTTTGTCAATTTTATTTTTCAGTCTTTATGATGGTCGATACTTGATCTATCTCTTACTGTTACATCTCCGGGCAACGCCGGGCTCTACTGCTAGTTATTCATATAACATTAAAAGAGAAATCAGCTGTTATCCACAACACTGAGTAAAACTCATTAGTGGTGACTCAGACATGTATCAACAAGATATGATCTTCATAAAGAACACTCTCCAAAGCAATAACTACTTTACATACCTAATATCACCATTCGTTCGTAGACGTACAGGTGTGTAGGAAAAGAACAAAAAACCTACAATAATTTTCTGTCAAAGGAGAGTTGGCGAATATTTAAGACAATATTCAGAAACATCTTCGCGTTGCCATCTTAGGAAACTTAGACCACCAAGAGAAAATGACTAAGAACGTGATGTACAATATTCTGTGCAGTTGTTGCAAAGAATACAAAGGTAAGAGCAATCACACCAGTCTGAAAAATATAGAGAAATCAGATTATGTAATGCGACTATGAAATCGGAATAGGCTAAACACGTAGAGAAGGAAAAGGAGCGTACCAATATATATGGAACAAAGTTAAAATAATAATGGGGGAACAACAATTCCGCTACAGTATCCACAATAAAAGGTACTCATTGATAGCTATCGAAAGCTATCATTCAAACAAAAAATGCCACTCTATGTGCCCATAAAAACTCCTTGTCATTACTAACGCGGAGCTATCTATACCTCACAGTATGTTTTCAACAAAACGATACAGAACAAAGGCAAAATAAAAACATAAAATAGGAATAAAATAATAAAAGTTTGACTGTGGAAAAGGTATGCCTTTCGTTAGCAGCAGAGTTCGAGTGTCTACGTTTTAAAAACAAGAAAAGTACTACTTACATGACCGGTTGTAGATGAGGACCTTTCGTTAGCGTTGATGACCCGACGTATTAGACGAAATAAAAATAAAGAGTAAAATTCTTTTAGGAAGCATAGGATTTTAACGGCACTTGTCAGCTGCAGCTGAGACTGCTGGCTACTGCAACCTGTTATTTTTACTACAGCGAACCATCTGTATCGAGGCCTAAACTTGCTACAGAAATAAAGACATTGCAGGTGTAAATACGAATATCTGCATCTTTTCTGCTTTCCATTCAACTGAACGAAGATGTCACGTACAATTTAACAATTCTTCAGAACTTCATGTCCATCATGGTGGTTGTTCGGGTGAGCTCTTCTCTGTGGCCATTATCTCCCTTTTTACAAGACAAATTTGCTAACGCCTTGAGGGTTATGTGACAGCCCCTGTGTGACGTCAACCCAGGATCGACGACAATCTTTGTGAATTTGAGTGCAGTGCTGGATTGGCGACTGGATTTCATCGACTCGCAGTTGGTCTTGGTTAGATGTAGCCGTGGGTTCTATGCTAACGGTTTCTTTTCAGGCACGTGGAGCTCTCTTCCGGCTATGATTTTAATTAAAACGTCCGCATACTCGTTGCAATAGTATAAAATCCCACAACAGTGGCGACTTATATTTTTACCCAAACATTATAGTAACCCGCAACACTATATATATGTATGTGTGCTTGCATGTGTATGTATGTGTATGTGTGTGTAAATAATTTTCAGATTGAGTGTATCTCGAAAGGAACAAAATGAATAAAAATACAAGAGGAGAAACTATTTTTAGCTGACACGTTTTGTCCTCTGAGGTATTTCATCAAGGTAAATGTAAGGATTTATTTTCTTGCACGTGCTTATATACAAGAGCAAGGATGTCATTGGTTTATCGAAGACTTTTAAAACCATAGCAATCTGATTACAATTTAAACAATATACATTTATTTAAAAAATTATTTCTTGAATATTATTCGCTTACTTTTGTCTAACAAGACATTCAATTGTGGCACTTTGTGTCCTCCACAAGTTTTGACTGAGTTTTCAACCACCTGATGAATATTCATGAACGTTCTTGAATTTAAAAGCCTTGATAAACCAATGGAATCCTTATGCTTCTGCAGTAATCTTGCCACAAAATCAGAGTTGTCTTAAACACAAAGTAAAAAGGAGTTGTAGGGGGGCAGAAGGCTATTATATCCCTTTTTACAGGACAAATTTGCTACCGCCCTGAGGGTTATGTGACAGCCTCTATGTGACGTCAACCCAGGATCGACGATAATCCATGAGTGACGAACGAGAATTGTATAGACCGCGAGGAAGATAGATGTAATACGCAATGGCAGTTAGGAGAATGAGCAATGTGAATGTAGGTATATGCATGCAAATTCAATCAACATTAAATAAAATTTAATTATAAACATAAACCCCTATAACGAATACCCTAATACTCAAGATACCACGAAATCAAATAAGAAAAATGAAATAATGGACAAGTGAAGACATATAAAAATATTTCATTACCATTTAAGCATTGATAAAAAAAAATATTTAATTAAATATTCTAATAAAAATCAAACTATTTCCTTTCTATTATAAATAACACAACAAATTAACATTGGAGGCAGAAGTACAGTTTCAAAGAACAATATAACCCCGTTGATGTAAAAGAAAACGGGTAAGTTCCCGAACGCATGTAAACAAATGTATTAGTATTCGATATCGAAAAGGGCAAATACCCGAAAAATTCCAAGGGTCGAAAATAGGACAAAAAGAGAAAAAATACTTCGAAAGAGACCTTCTTGTATCGCTGTTAGTCTTGTATTTTCATGAAGGGTTTCTTGAGCCTTCAGGTCTAGTAGCTGCATGCGGCTGTGAATTTATTGTCTCTGGAATCACTGGCAACAAGTTATGTTTGAATCCAGAATTGTTCACTCTTCCCATAGGACCATGAATTTAGGTTGGAAGCGATAATATGTTGCGTAGGCAGTAATATTCGACTCACTCTCGTGATTTTTTTACTCTTTAAATAGGGCCCTCATGACTACAAATTTAAAGAGAGTAATTGGCTGGTGGTGATTTCACCCTTAACCTGGATATTTCCAGAAGGGCTGGGTGTTAATTGGCAGTGATAGATCACGTAGGTATACCGCCGAAAATTTTAAAGGATCAAAGCGACTGTTTGTTGCTAGGACGAGAAAATCGTAACGTCAGAAAAAATTCCTTCAGTAGAAGCTTTGAATAACGTTTTCTGAACCCGGAAATTTTACAAATATAGTTTTGAAATCAACAAAGATATTTTTATAGTAAAGAAGCGATGGGTTCACACCTTTCCCTAAAAGTATTTGTACGAAAGTGAACGTAAAGAAGGAAGCCTGAGTTAGAATTCAACTCGTCTACCTCTCTTTGTAACATTTGTCACACATCCAGATAGCAAATTACACTAAATAGTTAGAGTAACCTCCCTTGAACTATTTACCACAGAAACTTTACGTGAAACGCTTTACTATATTGCATTATTGCAGGTTAGTCATTGATGAAATATTGTTAAGCAACAGATTTTTATACACGGAAACTATTTATTCACTGATTTATTTTTTAGATTTTCTTCTTAGTTACAATACAATTAGGAATTTTCAATAATAATTGTATTGTAAAACCTAATCTGTATTTTTTTTATCAATTCACCCCAAGCAAGGCGAAAATGTCACTAAGATGCAAGGGATTAATGGGTGTGAAAGAGAATTTTTTCATAACTTCTGAAAACCTTTCCATTTACTAATACATGTTTTTTTTTTTTTTTTTTTTTTTTTTTTTTTTTTTTATTAGTCCTTGCAAGTTGTAACGAATTATATTGCTTTTATAGAGGAAGTACGGTGGAGTAATTGATAATGGCTTGGATTGAGGAATCGGAGAGCCGAGTTCGAATTCCAGTTGAGTCCATTACATTCACTTACGTGCTAATACCCTTGGGAAAAGCATGAATCCTCTTCTTCTCCCTCCAGCTATGGGTAAATAGCAGGACAGACTGTGTTCTATAGCCTTGGATGGCAATTGGTCTAGGAGAAGGACAACCCTGAATTCAAAACCCGGAGTGGTGCCCCTAAGGCGGATGGACGGCACTTTGTGCTACCTTCCGGCAACTCCTGCAGCTGCGCTGGTACCAAACTGTATTGGTTCATTCTCTCCTTTGGACTCTGCTAGCAAGGCCGAGAGGGGGAACTAGACGTCCAGGCAGCCCTAGTTCTCCATATATACCGCCCAGGCTCGTTGCGCACCGTGCTACTCCATCGTCTCTCGAGACGGACGGATGCCGACGACGAAGACGATGATAGTGAAGCAACAGAAATGTGCTTGTATAGAAGGATGCTGAGAATACCATGGACCGAACACGTGAGCAATGACAAATGGAAACAAAAAGGACACTTATACTTAACAACAGAAAGAGATAGTTGAAATTTCACATAACCAAGAAAGAGGGTTTGGAAAATTTGATACTCGCAAGACAGATTAAAGGGAAGAGGGACAAAGGAAAACAGCGCGTAACCTACCCTGCGAGATTGAGTAAAGGGGTCGCAGAACACGGTTTAGGAGAGATAACAACGACACAAAATTTACTAAGAGCTATAAAGGACAGGAAATTGTGGAGGGCCATGATCATCAGTGTCATGAAGGGACATGACACATAGAAGAAGGAGAAATTAATATCAATACAAAATGCTAGGATTTTAAATATTAACTTTTCAAGGTATGGAAGATTTCCACAATTGGTAAATTTACGCAATACATTTTTCCACCTGTGTAGCCTTGTGTTAAATAATACTAAGTTTAATAAATAACTATCGAGTTTTTTTTTCTTTTTAACTGAATCTCATCCAATACAAGGCTCAAGAGGTACTCAAGGTAGAGCGCTACTGAATGAGGTGTAGTATAAATGTAAGCGGAGAACGTTTATATATTTACTAGATCACCAAAAGCAGTTCATAATACAAAATGATGAGAAAACAATATTATGAATTATATTATTAATTACAAATATTTTAATTTGTATTTGCAATACAAGTTATTGTAATAATTATTATTACTCACATTATACAATATTACTTAGATCAAACGCAATAATAAATTAATAAATGGAAGTTTTCAGAAGTTGTGAATAAATTCTCTTTCACTCCCAGTAGCCCCTTGCATCTTAGTAGCATTATCGCCTTGATTGGGGTGAATTGATAAAAAATAATAATTAGATTAAATTTTACAATGACACACCCACATACGAGTAGCCTCTTCCCCAATCAAGTAGTTGCTAAACATCCGGGATATTTGTTTATTAAAAATTCAAATGTAATGTAGTGAATTGTATGAACATATGCTGTGTTTTGTATATTTAAATTTAATAAATAATATTGTTAATGTCATAATGTTATGAATGTTTATCTTTTTTTCGCACACTGAATTTCCTATTAAAAATAGCATTAAAAAAAAAGAAGATAGCCCTAGCTCAAGAAGCCATTGTCTAATTTTAATGAAATTTGGCAGGTGTTAAAGCTACAATATGTCCCTAAATTGGTTGGAGTATTAAGTATCGTTTAAGTTCCGTCACGGAAACACACACACATACATACATACATACATACATACATACATACGAAACGCATACATACACACATAAAAGATTAGAGTTTTAGTATTATATAAATAAGTCTACCAATCGTCCACGCATTGAATATTGCTGTCACATCTGATCTGGTGCTTTTAGAGAGTCTTGATAAAACCCAATGAAGAATCTGCAATGTTATTGGATATTTAGATAAACTTGTATTTTGTCGAAAAAAATGTGATATAAAGAATATTTCCACAAATAACTTTAGCAAATCTCCTTTCGTTTTATTTTGTTGAGATTTATTGTATATTAATACATTTATGGCACAAGGCCAAAAAGGGGGAATGGGTTGAGGCTGGTCTTCACTATCTTATACCTAGCTAATTGGATTCACGGCCCATTCACTCGTTACAATTTCCTCATTCACCATTTTTTATTATAATTTATTTTCGAAGGAAAATGTTTACGTCATTATTATTCCATAGTATCAGTTCGCGTGAATAGCTTTTGCACAACCAAAACCGTTTTTAAATTATCTTAATCTTTTCCGTTACAACATTTTTAATGTTTTGTTACTACTGAACTGAAAATTCATAAAATATCCAGCATGAACCAAAATTTAAGCGCTGCCATCTTAAAAAAGGATAAGTTTGCTATCGAAGACTTTCTGAAAGCTGGGGCCGATCCAAACGCTCTCATCCCTGGCGAGGAGTTTGCGCCAATTCATTTAGGAGCCGGGACTTCGAAATCTGTTACTCAACTGTTGCTCAAGTATGGTGCCGACCCTAACGCTCGAACATGTGAAGGGTCTACGCCATTACATATAGCAGCTTCTTGGGGGAAAAGTGATGTTCTTGAATTATTGCTAAAATATGGTGCTGACATGTCCATACGAGACAATGAAGAGCTTGACGCATTGGGTATAGCGGGAAAATACGAGTGTGAAAACTGCGTCCGCATTCTGCAAAATCATGAACGAAAAAACGGAATCAATATTCAAGGTAAAGAACATAGTCTTTCAAGTCCGTATAATCAGATAGAAATAAACGTTTGTCTCAATCGTATCAAATTATTTTCAACGATTGTCAACAGCAGTTCAGAATTGTGTCAAATTCCTGAAGCCTTTACTGATGACGGACCGATCACCGTGAAAACTTATAAAACTAAAGATGACTATAACTGTCGACCTAGACAGTCAGATGACGGCATTTTGACACCCAGCAGAAGTTCAAGTTACATTTCTTTGCAAGTAACAGAAGAATTTTCAGCAACGTTCCACCATGAACAGGTACGAAAAAATAAGAATCACGAAGAAGGAAATCAATCAGGTGATCCCTGTTCAGATACAAAGATAAGGCAGGAATCTATCGTTCATGAGAAATCGGCTACTAAAGTAGATGACACATTAATAAATAATAAGCAACAAAATAGGTTTTATAAGCATCCTAAAAGTGGTTCTGATCAGTGCTGGAAAGAACCAATTGAGACGCCCTCGATAGAAACATTTATCCATCCGCCTCGAAATAGCCATCAACCTTTGGAAATACATGACTCACACAGCAATTGTCATACATGCCCATCCTATTTTAATGATGCACTTCGTTATGCTACTGAAAATGAAAGTCAAAACTTAAACACTGAAACAATATATATTGATCAAGGATCAAGTCAAACTTCAACATTGCCATATACGGAATATCATTTGGATCTCGGATCAGAAACTAATCACAATGAGAGGGATGGAATTGATCCTCAAGTTTCAGACAATGAAAGAAATAAAGAATCACTTGAATATGAACAATGGAATGAATATTCTAAACATCAAAGGCAAAATATGACCAAAAATAATTATGAAAACAGGAAATCATTGTTCCTTGACACGAAAACGATAAAATCCGTGACTCAGAATTCACCCAGAGTGTCATGCCCCTGTAATAATCATCCCGTGATCACAACTGATCCCCCTTTTAAATCTGGGATAAAAACGGGTGGTAAATGTTTGAACAAGGAATTTTGTGAGGGAAAAGATGAAAATATACATTCGTCTCGTTCTTGTGAAACGGTTTCTGATTGCACCTATCCAGACGACACTTCACAGAGTACCAAATACAAGTATGTAGCTCAACAAGAAGATTCAAAAGACGAGATTCCATTTCGATTTTTTGTCCCTTGCAAAGAAACATCTGAGAACACAGCGAAACGAAAAAGTTTTAAGAAATACAGCAACAATTTATATTTAAAGCTTGCAGCTTCTTTAAATAAAAGAAAGGGTAAGGAAAAGAGAGAATACATTTCTCTTTCTAACAAATTAACAAAGTCCATAATTTGTAAGATACGGATTCGATAGAAGCGCTCCAATTTGGAAAGCAACGACTAGAAAAATAGATTTTTAATGATTTATTTTAAAATAGAAATTAATCGTAAAAAGTCTGTTATCATTTGAAATCTTTCCTCACAAATTTGATATTTTCACTGATATTTATTTTCAATAAATTGCTTCAGTTTTTGTCAAAAATCGTTTTGTATATCATATCGAATTCTCTTTTTTTGAGAAAATAAGAATAAGAAAAAAAGACAATTTTAAATTTACAGTTAGTTCAATGTATTTTAGGAGAACCGATAACAGGGGAGGTAAAGAGATAATATTGTATAGAGTCTTGCAAATAATCATTATTTTGAGCTAAAAGTTATTTTCTTTCTTCGCATGGAATTACGGGGACGTTTTTTGTTTTTCCCACTTGAGTATATCGCTGTAGGGTTATGTATGTGTGCGTGTGTATGTGTGTGCGTGTTTGTGTGTGTATGTGCATAAAATATACGCCAGAATGGTGGAAAGTTTGGTTAATTATTTTTTTAAATAAAAAATGTGAACCATGTTATTTTTCTGTTAAAAGTACGAAGCATGAATATAAATATAAATATAAATAATTTATATCCTTTCAAGACATGCAAACGTGCGCACTTAAAACAGATAACCCTCCTCGAGTTCTATAGATTGTAGTGTATATTAGTAATCAGAACGACTATTCACAGAACAGAATAAGAAAAATATTCAAGAGAATAGTAAATAGATGATCTTTGAATATAGCTGACTGTTGACACCCCTTTATTATTCACGTTTTTCGGAACTTGTATGTGATTTCGAGACATTTTCTAGAATGTTGTACAGTCGGTTCTAGGTGAGTCAAGCGTGTGCACTCGGTAGGCATTTTTTTGCAGCAGATTTAATAAGAAAAAGAGGAAAATACGCATGCCTAAAGGTCTACCATGTATATGTCTGTGTATGTTTCTGAATAGTTTTTAAGATAGTGCATGCACGTATGCATGCATAAGTGAGCATGATGTGCCATTGCGTATGTGAATATGAATTGATGGAGTCAATCCTAAAAACGGCGGGAGAATTGTTAAGTTTTAAACCGCCTGGTCATATCAACAACAGCCAGGAACTGTATTTGTGTCCTACCAAGCTGAATTTCCGAGAAAAGAGATTTATCATTATTTATGTCAGTTGTAGCGGGACTAACACCTTAATTTTTGCTGTTATTATCTCAACGTTTCATCTGTTTTACATTCCGCCCTTCTTCAAGTGTTTGTCGATCTGCAGAGATTTTCGAACGGGATCTTTTATTTAGTCGACAGGAGTAGATTGTTCTCATATGTATGTATGTCCTCTTATTCTTTTCCTTTTTCTTTTAGTACTGCTCAGAACGGCTATAGAACCCGGTCTGTCCTGCTATTTACCCATAGCTGGGGTGGGGGTGGAAGAAGAGGATTCATACCTCTCCGAAGGATATTAGCGCGTAAGTGATGTAATGGATTACGTGCTAATATCCTTGGGAAAGGTATGAATCCTCTTCTTCTCCCCCCCCAGCTATAGGCAGATAGAAGGACAGACCGGGTTCTATAGCCTTGATGGCAACTGGTCTACCGCAGAAAGAAATTGCAACCTACTGCGGGAAAAATCTGCCTCGTCAGTCATGTATCGAAAGATACATGATCGCCTAAGCGTGTATCACGCAGGGCACATAACTGACTGACTGTTCACTTATTGTAAATCCTGCTTCTACGGAGTCCAGGTCTGTACTTCTCGACCCAGGGATTGAACTCACAATTACTATGTCATCAAATTCCTCTTTTTGCTCAGTCCTACTCTGCACGCGTTGTGCACTTAGACGTGGTGTAATGGTTAGCAAACCTGTCTCGCAGATTAATTACGACTGAGTAGTGAGTTCGATCCTCACTGGGTGCTCCATACTTGCGGCCTTGTGCTACATCTAAGCTACGTTTAGAAAATTGCTACTCTGCATGCGTATTGATCTGTCCTTTTGTCTATATACATACCCATGCTTGGCTTTACGAAGAAAGATGTAAGGTGAGTATAGTCAGGTCTAAGCGGACGAGACATGCCTTTCCACAAAGACTTCCGGAGAAAGTTTAACAACGAGCAGAGGTTCCGGCCTTGCAGTACTGCCACTTTTCTTTTGCTCTTTCACTGCGGTTTTCTTCACCGGGAGAATTAGATCGATAGATCGCGTATCTCCATGTCGTCTTATCGATTAAGTTTCCTACTAATGTCGGTTGAATCAAGCAGTCATTGTATCTCTTCAGTTGGGGCACTAGCTCTCCATTGGCCAGAAACGTATTCTCTGAACAGGATGGTCTTTAAAAAACGATAATTCTGCATACTAGCTAGTTGGTCTATTTATCGCTTGTGGCTAACTTGAGAACACAGTGTTAGTATTATGATCACTCTAATGCAAATTAAAAATAGTGCAGAGGCAATGTTGTCGGAAGCGCCCGACTGGACGTATGTGGGGTTATGCGCTAGGATTCAAAACCGTATAGAGGGTGAGCAATAAGATGGCTTATTAGGTTTTGGTTTGTGTCTCTTTCGTGTGGTTGTTGTTGTCACAGACACAATTGTATCATCTACTAATGGTTTGATTAGCCTATACCACTATGATACCTATTTTACTATATTATTATTTACATAGTAGAAGGAAACTTGTTGATTGTGAAAGAGAACGTTCGATCAATTGATGAATAATATATGGTGTAATGGTTAGCAGCAATAAAATCAGAAACGATGATTCTGTTTACGTCATTGTGGAAATATTTGAAACCATTTCTCCCAACGTTCTGGCTCATCGCAAGATAACTTGGAAATAAGGTCTCGTCACTGATATGTTTCGACGATTGATAGAAAAGAAGTGACTTAATAAGTATTTTCTTCAATGAATTTTCCATAAAATTTATATGCCTTGACTCTAGCAGGTAAAGGCTACTACCTCTATATAGTCAAACATGCCAGAGTTCAATATATATATATATTAATAAAACAAGGACACACACATATATATATATATATATGTAGTGTATTCGTTCAAGTGTCAATCTTTACCTTTCCTGATAGTTGAAATTCTTCGAATAAACTGAAAGCTTTGGACAGTTCCTTTATACATTTGCTCGGGATACGCAGCTGCTTATACGGAAACTGGAAAAATGTAAGATCCAGACGAAACAAAACAGGAAATCAAATTCAGAAAATATGTTTGAATATATATATATATATATAAAGTGAATTAAACGAGAGTGGTTTGTTTAACGGCTTACTTAAATTTACCTGAGAGCTATTCGTGTACTGTAGTTTCTTTTTCTTCGCTTACTCAAAATGAGAGTTCGATATAAAATACAAAATGGGCATATGTTTATTTTATTTTGATAATAATCTATCGATTTCTGTTTGTGTATGTATCTGTTGCCGTAATTTAGTAAAAAAAAAAAAAAAAAAAAAAAACGCCACATCGTAGCTAGATTTATTACTTGTGTTAGGACATTACCACTAAAATACTGAAACCGGAAGAATAACGTAATTCTAAATGAAATTTATTAATTACTAACTGTAGTGTGCGGTCGGCATTTGCATTCACCTCAATAATAATGTTCTAATTTTTTATATGAGTTTGTTACAAAATCTGAAAAAGAAAATCATATCGACACTGAAAAAAGGAA